ATAAGCATTTAGTCCATCTGCTCAGAATTATCACATTTTTCCTTCTCCCCTCTAGGTAGGTCCCTAGGTTCCTTTGTGAACACTGGGCATCAAGGAGCCACTAAAAAAAAAAAAAGAAAAAAAACTAAATAGTGCAAAATGCAGCTCTTAATATTTCTCTAGAGCATTGAGTCATATCATACAAAATTATAAAATACTATCAGAAAAGGGCACTTTACATACCATAATAGTCATTTTATAAAGTTCAATTTGGCAATTCCGAGCCACATTTAATTTTCTCTGAAAATTCCCACATGGCAGAAAGATATTGCTCTTTGTGGCTTTCAAGTCTCTTTCAGGGAACTGTAAAACGACAACCTTCTAGAATTAGTACTTTTTCTATAAATAGACGCTAAGTTACTTATAGCAAATAAACTCACATATGCATTTTTATTAAAATAAATACTAAAATAACAAGTAATTTTCCTATATTACCATTCTGGGATTTATGCGAGTTAAAATTCTGCAGTATAATTTAGTATGAATCATTTGTAGTTCTTCATATTAGTTCTTCATATTCACTGACAGGTAGGGCTAGTGATTTCTGTATTAATTATAATATTTTAGCATATTAAAATGTATATCTAGATGAGGCAGATACTTCAAAGCTTCAAAACTGATGAAACAGCATACCTCTCTTTTAAGGGATAAAACTGTTTGCATTAATATATGAAATATACTACTAAAACCCCCTGCTGATTTCATAGGGTTTTGCAGAGAGTTATGCATAATATTCTGAAAATTAAAACCTGAGGATCAGATATTTATGATGATAAAAATTAGATCTCAAGAACTATTAAAAACTTGGAAGATTCTCCTAGAAGGAATGTTTTATTCAGTTCAAAAAATATTTAACACATATGGGTGGTGGAGAGGGGAACCACAGTGGAGTCAGAGGATGTATGAGTTCTAGACTCAGCTCTGCCACTTACTAGTACTGAGCTGTAGTCCTAATGTCCCCCCCAAAATTCATATGTTGAAACTAAATCAACAAAGTGATAGCATTAAAAGGTGAGGCCTTTAAGAGATAATTAAGTTATCAGGGAGAAGCCCTCATAAATGGGATTAGCAGCCTTATAAAGGGCTGGAGGGAACTAGGTAGGCCTCTTTTGCCCTTCTGCTTTTGGAGATGTGAGGACACAATGTTCCTCCCCTCCGGAGGATGCAGGAACAAGGTGTTATCTTGAAGCAGAAAGAGCAGCCTTCCTCAAACACCGAACCTGCTGGCTTCTTGATCTTGGACTTCCAGCCTCCAGAACTGTAAGAAACAAATTTCTTCTGTTCCTTATAAATTACCCAGGCTCGGATATTTTGTTCTGGCAGCAGAAAGACACATTGAGACAGTGAGTTAGTCACTAAATATCTCTGTGAGCCTGCATCACAGAATTGAAATGAGAATTAAGTGAAGTAACTAGGGAAACTGCTTTGTAAATGCTAGGCCATAACTTCACACACGTCAGTTATTGAAAATGGCATGGTGTAAGCTATCCATACATGCATATCTATATCTGGGGACAAATTATTGAGAATCTACAAAGTCTCAATGCAAATATGTTTTTTTCCTTTTAGTTTATTTTTATGTTGATGTTAATCTTCCAAAAAGCTCATATGATTACATTCTGAATCACCTGAATACCATCCTTATAACTGTCACGCAATGTGTATATTCATGACAGTATTAACACCAAACAATTCAACTTCAATTGCTTCTAAGCTAAAATAGATAGACACAGGCAGACTTAATATGTAGCTTCTATGTTCTCCCATGAGAAAGGCGAGTGACAATAGCAAAAATATTGAACAAAGATTTGGTAATAGTTTGAATCCAGAAAACTGAGACCATTCAATCATTACATAGCACCCTATAGCACTGGCAAGCTGAACCTTCAAAAAAATAATTTTGCTACTCAGTATTAAGAGTAGTGATTTAACATCATTCATCATCTAATGAGATCATTTGTATTGGTTTTGTAGCTTTGTATATATTTACTGTAACTATGTTTTAGTCATTGAAAAGTGTAAGCTTAAGTTTATATAGAGATTCGTATTTCTATGTATGTAAATAGCAGTATAGGGCCGGGTGCGGTGGCTCACCCCTGTAATCCTAGCACTCTGGGAGGCCAAGGCAGGTGGATGACTCAAGGTCAGGAGTTTGAAACTAGCCTGAGCAAGAGCAAGACCATGTCTCTACTAAACATAGAAAGAAATTAATTGGCCAACTAAAAATATGTAGAAAAAATTAGCCAGGCATAGTGGTACATGCCTGTAGTCCCAGCTACTCGGGAGGCTGAGGCAGGAGGATTGCTTGAGCCCAGGAGTTTGAGGTTGCTGTGAGCTAGGCTAATGCCACGGCACTCTAGCCCAGGCAAAAAGTGAGGCTCTGTCTCAAAATAAATAAATAGCAGTATAAAATTAACAAAAAATTAATTAACTTAAAAATAATTTGATACTTGAGAGATGTGGCCAAGTAGGTCAGAACTCAGAAAAGACAGATTTCAGATCATTTTTCTCTGTACTTTACTATGTGACCCTGGATAAGTCAAAAGACCTCACTTTCCCCTATTTTTTTTCACAGTAAGATAAAGATAATAAAATCACTTACATAGAACCCTTGAAAGGAATAAATGATACAATGAATATAATCATGAATGAATGCCTTCCCAGGCATAGTGTGTTATGGACAATAAAACCTTTGAAACAAGAGTTTGAGTTTTCAATGTACATTTCAATGCCATCTTGGGAAAATCTCCTTACCTCTAGGGGAGTCACTTCCCTATTTTTTCTTTTTTCTTTTCTTCTCTTTTCTTTTTTTTTTTAAGAGATGGGGGTTTATTTATGTTACTCAGATTGGACTTGAACTCCTGGACTCAAGCTATCCTCCTGCCTCAGCCTCCTGAGTAGCTGGGACTATAGATTTGCATCACTGTACCCAGCTTGTCATGTCCCTATTTTCTAAAAGCTATGTGCTACATCAGATTATCTCCTGGTTCCTTCCAAAACAGCTATAATAGAAGGTGATTGAGTTTTCTATTGGAATTTCAAAGGACTCCTCATTTCTACATCATTCATGCAGTTATCTGGTTTTCCATTAGCTTTTTAAAGAACTTGAGAAAAAAAATTAGATTCAATGTAGCAATTTACAAATAAAAACAGGTTTAGAAGAGCAAAATTCTTCCACCCATCCGAGAAATTTAAATATTTTTCTTGGCTTTGTTTTTTCGTCTGGTATATATGAGTCTTCTCTCTGTACTTGGATGTAATCACCCCAGGCAAGTCAAATGACCTCTCTACATTGACTGCACTGCTTAAAAAGCAGTCTCTGGACACAGGCTGTGTGGATTCAAACCATGACTTCACCACTTATTGGCTGTGCAGCATGAGGAAATTGCTGAACCTCTGTAAGCCTTACTTTATCTTTAAAAAATGTGTAATAGAATCTATTCATCTGGTGTGTTGTAAGGATTGAGATAATAGTTGTAAAATACTCAGTTGTAACGCCTGGCACTTTGTAAAATGCTCTATGAATGTTAGCTATTATTAGTATAATCATGTTTATTTTTCCTTCCTTTTCATCCTTGGCTTTCCAATTACTGCTCTAAGAGAAGGGAAAGGAGAGGCTGCAATACTTGCAGCATAAGAAGGCACTAAGGAAACTCTGGCAGGATAAACATGGAGTGGCAACCAATACCTCCTCCACTGGCACAGTCATAGAAGGAATAGCCACGATCCACATCAGGAAATTTAGATTCACCTGGATTCCACGGTTTTCTAGCTTTGTGAATTTTATCAAGTTATATTGCCTCCCTACACTTTTGTTTACTCCTGAGGCTAGCAATATTTGTCCTATTTATTTCACAAGACTTGGTGAAGGATTCAAAAACAAATAGTCGGTGTACATGAAAACACTTCCCAAAGTCTAAAGTACTAAAGAAGGCAGTTTTTCTCCTCAGCAGGATACATTCCAAAGGGTCAGAAAAGTTGCATTCTAATTCTGGCCCTCTCATTAACAAGCTGTGCCGAAATCATTTACCCCCTCCTAATTGCATTCGTCTGCCAAATAATCACAGTAGTAGCATCCAGCATTGATTGCGGGCTTACCAAATGCCATGTGCTGCCCTACGTTCCGAATTTGCGCATCAAGTGACCCCTCTTTTAGTGCTCACGATTTTGTGGTAGACATTATGTCCACTTAACGGATAAAAAAACCGAAGCTGAGAGAAGTTAGAAACCCTTCATACCTCATTTGCAGAGTGGTTGTTCTAAAAAACACCTACCCATAAGAAAGAACTGCAGCTCAAAGAACAATTTTAGGCCCAGCAGGGTGGTGCATGCCTGTAACCCCAGCACTTTGGGAGGTGGAGACGGGAGGATTGCTTGAGCCCAGGAGTTGAGACCAGCCTGGGCAACACAGCAAGACCCTGTCTCTAAAAACAACAACAAACAGTAGCTTTGCGTCTAATCATCTAATCTAATCTTCTCCCGGTGATATTCACAACGGCCTGAAGCCCTTCAGAACTCCAGGGTGGGGTTAAAGGGGCTATGATAGGTTCCACCAAAATCTGCGAGCCTGGCCAAGGCAGATCCCTAAACTCCTGCACCCAACCCAGACCCCGCCTCGCCCCGCCCACCCTTGCGAAGCACCGCCCATCCTCGCGAAGCACCGCCCACAGGACTCTTTCACCGTCCTCGCAGAAGCCACTGCGCACCCAGCATGCACCGCTTTCAGCAGGACATAGCGCATGCGCTATCAGTACGCCCGGATTTCCTGTCCGCGCCCGCCGCTTCCGACGGGAAACATCCGGCCAGTGAGGCGACCTCTGAGGCGGGCCATAGTTCTCCAGGATCCTCCCCCTCCCTGCGCTTTCCGAGCGGCGAGGACTGCCGGGGGGCGGTGTGCGAAGTCGGTGTGGGCCCATGGCTGCCTCCGGGAGACTCAGCACTTTCCGTCTCCCGCCATTGCCCACCATTCGAGAAATCATTAAGTTATTCAGGCTGAACGCGGTGAAGCAGCTATCCCAGAACTTTCTCCTGGACTTGAGGCTGACAGGTGGATGGCTTCTTCGTGCTCCCCGAATGTCGCCCCCGTGTTCCTGGTGGGGTGGGGGGTCTAGTGCGGACCCCGCGAGTCCAGCCTCAGGCGTGTGACGGGCTTTTGGTCGGTCCTTCTACTGCTCTGTAGTAAAGTAACGCCGCGTCCCACCGCTCAGGACGCACGTGAAGCGCGTTGTTTGCTCCAAACGCCGTGTTTAGGGGCGTGCAGCTGTGGGCCCTGAAGGTGGGCTGTGCGGCGCCGAGCACACCGGGGAGGTGTTCACGTGTGTTCACGTATAGGTGGAAGGCTCTGGGGATTGTAATCCCGGTCACTGTGAAATCTGTCTCTATGAAATGGTACTGCACGTGCTGACTGGACTTGCTTTTCATGCAGTTTAAAGTTATCAGTACTTAAATGAGTGCAAGGATTTTATTAATAACTTGTAAAAGCGTATTCTTTGTAGGATTCGTTGTTTAAACGTTTACCTGTTGAGTCTAAGAATATTCGAGGGCTCCAACCCTCATTCAGTAAATACATAGTGCATAAGCCACTGTGCGGGGTAGTTCTGGGGCTAGGATATGGGAGTGAGCAAGGCAAAGTTTGTCCTCAGGCAGCTTACATTTTAGTAAGTTTACATTCCCACATCCTATTCTTTTAAGTCACTTTTCATGAGGTAACATTTATATAACATAAAATTCGCCAGTTTGAAGCGCATGATTTGATGAGTTTTGGCAAATGTGTCTGTCATTTAACCACCACTACCCAAGAGGAGATTGCAAGAATAAGGTGTATTACAAATATGTCCACTAATTCACTGCTGGAGTACTTATGGTTTGAGGTTTTGATATTTCATTCTGTTTGGCCCCTCTTCTGAAGTTGGAAAGAGCACAAAAATCATACCCAAAAAGTTTGTTTTCAGTTAAATGAAGGAGAGTCCACAAGGCATAAATGTTTTATTTCTTGAACATGAGTCTTTATTCTGCCCATAGCAATATGACTTTAAATAAAATAGCTTAACTCAGCTTAAGTTTTCTCATCTTTTAATTGGAGGAGGGGCCTGCTACAAGAGCTTTGAAAGATTACCCACCTTTAAAATTCTTTGAGTCTAGTATAACTGGTGCCATCCTTTTTTGCTAGTCATTAGCCACATTCTAAATATAAAGCACCATTCTCTGCACTGAAAATACAGGTCATTTTTTTTTAAATTATTCGTATAAATTTTCTCGTGTGAGCCTTTATTCATCTTCAGGAGTAAGTTGCAGAGTCTAGATACTATTATCCACTCTTCCTGTGGGAACCAAACTGAAGAGAGATTAGGGTACTTGACTGAGGTTAGAAGCGCAGGCAGGAGCAGAGCAAGATTGAAACCCAAGTTTAGCAATTTGACAGTACTACTTTAATATTCATTTGTCTTTGAATGTGTCTGGAAAGTATGAGGACAAAGTTGTGCCTACTGTCATAGCTCTCCATTTTAAAAAATGAGAATATTAAATTCACCTGTGCTTAATGTATCATTGCCGTTCCCTCTGGGAGGCATTGGGCTCTCATTGGAAAAAGGATTGGCTTTAGAATTTATACCTGAGTTGGAATCCCTTCTCTGCCGTTTGCTTTCTAGGTGACCTTGCACAATGAAACAACAGACAAGGAACTGAAAAGTTCAGAGAAATTAAATTGGGATAGGAGTTTAGTTAACATGGAAGGATTAGGTGAGAGAATGTATGTGAGTCACTCATAACAGGTAAGATGTTATGACTGATTCATAATCACTCATATTGGGAGTGAATTATTATGCTAATTCCTTCCCTTATCCATTAACAGACAAAACCATTTTTGGATGATGGAGAGACTAATTTTTACCTTTTAGCCTACAAAGATAGGTTATTGATAACAGAAGCAAAAGAAGACTACAGAGTCAGTGAACACTGCCAATAAGTGCTGGTATGTCTTTAGTGACTGTATTTCCACTATCCTCAGAGGCCCAGTTGCTTGGATTTTAATATCTCATAGTCACTAAGACCAATTTGTATGTTTTACCAGAAGCAATGATTGGTTGCAGTGAATCAGTGCTTTTCTATGATTTCTTAAGCTCTAACTTAAAGAAATTGATATTAAAAAGTAATTTTTCTGTATTAACATGAATGTTTGCAAAGCTTTAAAAAAGACCATTCCTCAGCTGGGCAAAAAAAAACAAAAAAGAAAAAAGAAAGAAAAAACCTCCACTGCTAAATTTAACTTTTTCCTGAAAGTGACCAAGAATCCACATTTCTGAGAGTCTTATGATTTAGAAACTTGTTCCCTTTGCCATACTGTGCACCAACTAGATGTCTATAGATAGCTAAAAATGGAGACTGTCAGCACTTTCTGCTTTCGGATATCAAACTAGCAACATTGAAGATTCTGAATGTGAAACTAGTTTTGCTTATTAAAATATGTGATCTTCAACAACTGTAGAAAAGTATTACATACTTATTCAGTCTGTTCTTAGAACTTGATTGGTTTCAAATCAATTTGAAACAAATTGGCAGGGAACAAATAGAGAACACAATGTTAGCTAAATTTAAGCTAAGGAAACTTGTCATGATCCTATTTTGTTAAGGGACTGATACAGTTCTACAGGGGTAGAATATTGAATGGCCACTATGTATCGGTTTAGGTGGAGAGTTAAATAATCAGACAAATATTGCATATAAAGGATTATGATTGGGTAATAGCTGATAAGAATTGTTATAGATTATTTTTCTCTTTAAATTCTGTATATTGAAATTTTCCAAGATAATCAAGATAACTAAACTTTCTTTTCTTTAGATAAAATTGTAAGGAAAGCTGGCAATCTGACAAATGCTTATGTTTATGAAGTGGGCCCTGGGCCAGGGGGAATCACAAGATCCATTCTTAATGCCAACGTTGCTGAACTTTTGGTAGTTGAAAAGGATACTCGATTCATTCCTGGATTGAAGGTGAGATATTTAAAGTGTCTTTTTTAGGAGGCAAAAACGTGGGTTAAATCTTTACACCATGATTCTTAAACTCAGGGTGTCCTAAGATTATGTAGGTTCCTCAAACTGCAGATCCCCAGACCTCATCCCAGAGATTTTGATTCTGTAGTCTGGAGAGGTCTAGAAATCTGCATTTCTAACAAGCATTCATAGATAGTCTGTTGACCACAGCTTGAATGTGTTTGTTGATGCTAAACAAACTGTTTTTTGTGATCTTTAAAAAAAAATCTAATAGCTATTCAAGTCATGACCTATTCATTCAAAAATAAGTAAAACTAAATAGTGGCCAGTAATGACTCATGGGTGTGACTTTTGAGAACTTCATTTAGGTTCAAAAAAGCATTCCCACAATCAAAAGATGGAGAAGATAATATGCTAGCCCTTTATTATTCTTTTTTTTTTGAGAAGAGTCTCACTTTGTTGTCCAGGCTAGAGTGAGTGCCGTGGCGTCAGCCTAGCTCACAGCAACCTCCAACTCCTGGGCTCGAGCGATCCTTCTGCCTCAGCCTCCCGAGTAGCTGGGACTACAGGCATGTGCCAACATTCCGGCTAATTTTTATATATATATCAGTTGGCCAATTAATTTCTTTCTATTTATAGTAGAGACGGGGTCTCGCTCTTGCTCAGGCTGGTTTTGAACTCCTGACCTTGAGCAATCCGCCTGCCTCGGCCTCCCAGAGAGCTAGGATTACAGGTGTGAGCCACCGCGCCCGGCCTCAAGCATTCTTATAAAAGAATTTTTTAAGTGAAGTAATAAAGTATCACTGTACTTATAGATGAAGATAAGGTTTCAATGAAATGATGCATGCATCTTTAAAACATAGGTACTGTTATTATATGGAAATATTTAAAGGAACTGGGCATGTTTCAACTGGAGAGAAGTCCTGCGTGAGAGTACTCATAGCTGCCTATCAAAGGTTGGCAGTGGAGAGGATAAGTTTTGATCTTTTCTAGGAAAGAGCTATAACAAATAGGTGAGAATTGAAGGAGACAGAATTGAGGATTTGAAATAAAGAGGGTCTTATATTTTTAAAATGTTGGCAAACAGTGGAATAGATTATATGAGGGATCTTGTAAAGGGAATTCCTCATGGGAGCACTTAATGACTTGAAGGCCTTTGTTTGATTTCTCCATAATTCTAAAACTTTAAAAGAGCCCTGAGCCTTTGGCTCAGGTGACTAGCAATTTAATATGTGACTATAATAGAATAATAAAATTATCCACCTTATTACTTTAATACAAGAGGAAAAATTGGTTTAAAATGATCACATTCTAATGCTTGTGTATGTTTTAATGGAAAAATGTTTAATTTTTGTCAGAACAGTTTGAGAAAATTCATTTGAAAATCTAGAACTTTGTATGCCTCTGATCTTTGTAGAAACCTAGTGATTTTTTTCTGATTTTGCTTTATCCAATTTTTATGATTTAAAAAATTATATAATATTTCATTTTATCTAATTTTGCCAGTCCGTACTGACAGAATTGGTTTCGTATTTATAACTTTATTTTGGGATTGTCACTTGGTGCATATTCATTCCTTGATCAGATGTGGAATTTGATAATGATTTTTTTTAACTGTGTCCTTATTTTAAGAACTGTATCTCAGTTGGCAGTAGAAGTAGGAATGTTGTTAATTTTTATGGGATCATGAGAGTATAAAAAGAAACTGAATAACAGGCCGTAATTCCCTTCCCAGTTATTCATCTAGCCCTTTCTGGACATAGGGAATACTCATCTGACTTTTTTGCCCTTAAAGTGACTTCTTAAACCCTCAAACCTCACTGTCTGTTGTGTGCATCCTTTGTTATTAGGGAGTGAATCACATTTCTGTTCATCCCCATTTAATTCACATATTCTGTTTGATCTGAAGTAAAGATCTTTGAAGACAGACTAAGAGTAACAACCACCCTTCTCAACTTCCCTTCACCCCCAATTCCCTGCATTACTAATCCCTTACCTTATTTCATCACATTAGATATATCATCCTCTGACACACTATATATATATACACACACACACATATATATGCGTATGTGTGTATATATACACACACACACACACACACACATACACACGTATATTCTTCTCATTGTATTTGTTGTCAAACTCACCTCTCTGGAATGTAAATGCCAGGAGGATAGAGATTAGTGTCTGTTTTGCTCCCTGCTGTATCTCTACTGTGTGTAACAGTGCCTGGCACATAGCAGGTATCCAGTCATTGTCTCACATGGGAAATAGGTTGACAATCTGTGTGTGTGTGTGTGTGTGTGTGTGTGCGCGCGCGCACACACCCGCGCACAGGTATGTATCTGTCATACTAGTTGACTAAATGTGTCATTCAAAAGTGAAAGTGAATATTTTGTAGTATTGATTATCAAAAGGTTTTATGCTCTTTTTTCTAGATATGAAGGCTAATTTCAAGGTGAATTACAGTAAATGTATATTTAACTTCTCATTCGTTTCAGTAGAAGCAGCAAAATTAATTTTTAGTATTTTATATGCAGGAAAGGAATTTGCCTTCAAAAGAAATGTTGGGCACTGAAATATCAAATAGGCTTTTTTTTTCCTGTAAAGAATGTTTCAATATGTAAAACCACTTTCTTTTAGAGGTGCTAAATTAATCATAAAACTGAGTAAAGGCAGAAGGATTCCATTTTAGTGATTTCTAAGTTAATAGAATTACTTTTTAAAGAAATTGTAATAATTTATAAAATGTCCTCTAGCTGAAAGCATGTAATTTGTAGCTTAATTCAATTATTATATTATCATGAGGCAGCTTAGGGGAATGAACAACTAGTGATAACATGTAGTTTTCACTATCAGCATATTGTAAAGATTAAAAAAAAACCTGTCTAATATATGAAAATAATACAGTTTTGTAGTAAAGAACACAGACTTTAGCATCGGACTACCTGGGTTGGACTTAAGATTACTAGTTGTGTGACTTTGGGCAGGTATCTCTGTCCTCTATGCCTCAGTTTGCTCATAGGATTGTTATGAGGAGTAAGTAAATGCCTGCCACTTAGTAAACACTCAGTTGATCTTAGTTATAAATGATTAAATTATGGTCCCGATGCCTTGAGTACCTCAGATGATTAAGGATTGATCAGGAGATTACTAGTCTAGAAAGAGGGATGGGAGGAAAATAATGTTATTGCATTGGAGCACTAGAAAAATCCCTGTTACTATGAAAATATTGGGCCATTCTCCAGCTCATCAAACCTGCATTGGCCATGTTGGGTTTCTTTCTCTTGATATTGTAACACTCTGATTGTGCATTTGTGAGTTTTTTATTTCTTTGTTATAACATTTTTACAACTGAACGGTTTTTCTATGCCTTGAAGGGGAGTGAAGAGATTTCCTGACATCTCAAGAAACTTTTGAAGCCTTGTTGATAAGTTCTTCCCCATTCTTAACAGGGAGATAACTTTCTAAATCGTGTGTACCCCTTCGGATAAATAGTCCAGATTCCTCCTTTTTTCCGGTTTGAAAAGTTTAAAAGGAAAAGAAAAAAAGAACCAAAAATAAGGAAAAATGAACAAAACAAAGAAAACCTTTTTAAGGTTTTTTGAGATATAATTGATGCTCAGTAAACTGCACATATTGGAAGTGTGCAAATTACTGAGTTTTGACATGTATAATTGCACGAAACCATCACCACAATCAAGATACTTAACATCCATCATCATCAAGCTTTCTTATGTTCATTGGTACCAATCTATCCTTTCTTCCTCCCTGGGTATAGGTAAACTATTCCCAGATAGCCACTCAGCTGCTTTGCCACTATAGATTATTTTCCATGCTTTAGAATTTTATATAAGTGGAATCATACAGAATGTATTTTTTTTGGTCTTATGAGTTTTACTCAGCATAAATATTTTGAGTTTCATCTATGTTGATGTGTTTGTTAATAGTTTGCTCCTTTTTTTGCTGAATAGTATTCCACTATGTAGATATACCAAATTTATAAATCCATTCACTTATTGACAGACTTTGGGTTTTTTCATATTTGGCTGTCACACACAAAGCTATTATGAACATTCACATGCAACTGTTTGCGTGGATATATATTTCCATTTCTCTTAGGACGTAGGAATAGAATATCTGGGTCCTATGGTAGGTATATGTTAAACTTTTCACAAAATTACCAAACTGTTTTACAAAGTGACTGTACCATTTTATATTCCCACCAAAAATTGTGCATGAGAGTTTCAGTTGTTCCACATGCCTGCTCATACTTGGTATGGTCAGTCTTTTTAATTTTAGCCATCCTAGTGAATATGCAGTGGTATCTTATTCTGGTTTTTATTTGCATTTCCCTAATGGATAATGATATTAGACATATTTTCATGTGCTCATTTGCCATCTGTATATCTTCTTTGGGGAATTGTTCCAATATTTGTACTATTTTTTTTTTTTTGTCTTATTGAATTTTAGGAGATCTTTATACAGTTCAGATATAAGACTTTGTCGGATACATGTTTTACAGATGTTTTCTCCTTAGCTGTGGCTTACCTTTTAATTTTTTTAATAGTGTCTTTTGAAGAGCAGAAATTTAATTTTTATGAAGTACAATTTATCGGTTTTTTCTTTTAAATTTGTTGCTTTTTATGTCTTATTTTAAAAATAAAATATTTGCCAAAACCAAGACCACTAAGAATTTATCCTATGTTTTCTTTGAGTTTTTTGTTTTTTGAGGTTTTTTTTAGCTTTTACATTTTGGTCTATGATACATTTTGAGTTAGTTTTTCTTTATGGGATAAGGCAAGAGTACAGGTTCCTTTTTATACCTCTCTTGTTGAAAGTATTATCTTTTCCTCATTGAATTGCCTTGATACTGTTGTCAAAAATCAATTGATCTTATATGTGTCAGTTTATTTCTGGACTTCCACTTCTGTTGATCTGTACGTCTATCCTTTCACCAATAACAATCTATATTAGTTACTGTAGCTTTATAGTAA